ATGTCTGATTCCCCCTTTACCATGCCAAATTGTGTCCTTTGCCCATCTTTTTTTTTAATCTCAGCAAATGATAAGTTTACCTACCCAGTTAGCAAAGGCAGAAATGCGGAAATCATCTTTGAGTTTCAGCTCCTTTTTGACCTTTTTTTTTTTTTTTAAGACAAAGTCTCACTATTCCTAGTCTTGAACTCTATATAGGCCCAGCTTGGCCTCAAACTCTGAATCCTCCTGCCTCAGTCTCCTTACAGCTGGGATATCAGTCATTGTCTTAGTTACTTTCTTGTTGCTGGGACAAAATACCTGTCACCCAAATTAAAAGTTTTTTGTTTTTTGTTTTTTTTAGCTCACAGTTTGTGGAGGTTTCAGTCCATAGTATGGTGGTTCCAGTGCAGGGTAGCACAAGAGGGAAATGGCAGAGGAAAAACAGCCATGTTGTGGCAGACAGGAGACAGTGCGCAGAAAGCCTCCCTTTCACTTTTTATTCCATTCAAGCTACAAGCCAGTTGGTTGCTGCCATCCACACCCAGGGTTGGCCTTCCCATTATCCACACAGAGAACCATACTAAACCAATCACATACCCCATAATCTAGTACCATGATCCAGCCACCCCTCAAAAGCCCCACCTATCTGCACTTGAGGCTTTGGGGGAAAGTCTACATATAAACCATATACAGGCAGGCACCACCATGCCTAGCTTCTAACTTCATCTTGTACTTGACTCTTCCTAGTGTGATTTCTCATGATGATGTAATATTTCAGCCTCTCAACTCCCATTTATTTGTTTGTTTATCGGTACTGGGGATTGAACTCTGGGACCTTGCACTTGCAAGGCAGGCGGTGGCACCACTGAGCTAAATCCCCAGCCCTCAACTCCCATTTCTAACTGACCTATCATCTAGTTCAATTACTAAGAGAGATTCACATTGATTCAGTGTTCTTTCTTCCTCTCCCTCCCCTCTCCTCTTTTTTCTTTTTCCTTTTCTTTTTCCCATTCTCCTCCTTTTTGAAACAAGGACTCACTATGAAGTCCAGGCTGAACTTGAACTAAGTAGCCCAGGCTGAACTTGAACTCATGGTCCTCCTGCCCTAGCTTCTTGAGTGCTGGGATAGACCAGCTTGCTTGGTTTTTCTTGTCCTCCCTTCCTCCCTTCCTCCCTTCCTTCCATCCTTCCATCCTCCCTTCCTCCCTTCCTCCCTTCCTTCCATCCTTCCATCCTTCCATCCTTCCATCCTTCCTTCCTTCCTTCCTTCCTTCCTTCCTGCAGTACTGAGGATTGAAACCAGGGATGCTCTACCACTGAGCTACTTACCTTTCCCTCTTATTTTTTGAAATTGACTCATTAAGTTGCCCTTGTGGGACTTGAACTTGTGATCCTCCTAACTCTGTCTCAGTTTTCTTTCTTGAGGTCTTGAAGGAAGAATCACCCTACTTTGTTGGTTTGGTGATTCATCAGTTTCTCAGCCTGTTCCTTCTCATGAATTGGTAAAGAAAATGTTATATAAACTTTCTCAAAACCTCATCATCCTGGTCAAAGTGATAAGAAGTGATAAAGATAGATAATAAGATATTGTAGGTTGGATTTTAAATGTCCTCCAGAAGCGCATGTGTTGTAAGGCTGGGTCCTGAGCATATGGTGCTCCTGGGAGCTAGTGGAACCTTTAGGAGGTGGCTCCTGTGGGAAGAAGTCAGGTCACTAGAGGATTGTGCTTACCAGGCAGAGTAAGAAATGAGCAGTTCCTATCTTTTTTTTCCACTTCCAACCACCATGATATAAGTAGCTTCCTCTTCTACATACTTGCACTATGATATATAAAGGCAACAGGGTCAAATAACCATGGACTAAAACCTCTATAACCATAGGTCAAAATAAACCACTCAGGTATTTTGCCACAGTGATGAAAAGCTGAGTTAACACAGAATGACAGGGCTCTGGACTAATTTAATGGTTGATGGAGGCCTCGAAGATGTCCATGACTATACCTTCACTAGACTTTGTTTCATTTTTTTAAAAATTTTAGAAATATTGCCCTACCCCCCCTTTCTTTGGTGGTACTGGGGATAGAACCCAGAGCCTTACACATGTTAAGCACATGGTCTACCATGTTTTCTCATTTTTTGTAACATTTATTGAGAAATAAGTCACATACTGTAAAATCTGCCTTTTAAAGTTTAGAATTTAGTGTTTTTGTTTTTTGGTGGGGTTTTTTTTGGTACTGGGGATCAAACTTGGCCCTTGTGCTTGTGAGGCAGGTGGCAGAACCACTGAGCTAAATCCTTGGCCCGACAATTTCAGCGTTTTTAATATTCAAACTGATTAAACAACATCTCATTTTAGAATATTTTGTTATTTTAGTAAGTTTTTATTTTAAGTAACCTTCTGAAATTTTCAGGTCATGAACTATATCTCTTTCCACATTGCAAGCATAATGACTTTTTCTCCTCCTTGCACTGGGGATTAAACCCAAGGCCCCATGCACGCTACCCAAGTACTTATTGTTGATCTGCACGCCCAGGCTTATTTCTTGAGACAGGGTCTCACTAAGTTGCCCAGGCTCGCCTCAGATTTGTGATCCTCCTGCCTTAGCCCCCACAGTAGCTTGGATTATAGGCTTGAGTTGTGATTTTGTTTTTGTGGCGCTGGGGATCAAATCCAGGACCTTGAGCATGCTAGGCAAGTACTATGAGGTATATACACAACCCTCAAGCATGGTGATTTTAAACTCATAGTTCATTATTCCAGTATGCAAAGCTCCTGTTGATCTGTTTCTAATGTCCCTTGTTTTTGTTCTTAGTTCATGTTATTTGTGTGCCTTATTTTTAATTGTGCACTAGACATTATATTTCTAAAATTATTTTCAGAAATAACTGAAGCCCAAGGTATTTCCCCAACCACAAACGATGCACCTTTGCCAATGCTGGGGGTTGTGATCACTGGCAATTCTGGATCACTCAAGGACAACTTCAGAAGCTTTCATTATGTAAAGTAGTCCCCAGAGGCTGTGATCATGGGTGTAGCCTTTTGGGGCCTGAACTCAAAAGGAATAGTTCTACCTGAGTCCCTTCTACTCTGCCCATGTTAGGCCCTGGGCTCCAATTTTTGTGCTCATAGCCCTGGAACCTGCCAAAAGCTCAGCTCTGCATTTGTTACCCTCTCCTGGATCAGCAAATGCTCCCAGAGTGAGCTGTAAAAATCACTTCCCTGGCCCTCCATCCTTGCTTGAGTTCTGGCCTGGTGATTCTTCGCTGTTTTGTACTTCTCATGTGCCTTCAAGTAGAAGTGTTTGGTGGTTTTGCCCAGATTTTCTACTTCATGCTAGAACTGGTCTACATTTTCTAGTCTATCACTGCAAGTGGAAGTTCTCTTGGTTTTGTTTAACTCAGTATAACTGTTAGATCTAGTGAACACCTCTGTACCACAGAGCTGAGACTGTGTCTCTGGCTTATTCAGGGCTAAGAAGCTGTCATCACCAGCACTGTACCATTCAGGCTCTGGGCAGTTAGGTGCCAGCTAATAAGTCTTATTCCCTACCCTCCTGGAGCCTGCAATCTTCCTTTTCCTCCCTAAAATCTCAATAATAATGTCAAAGATAATGTCAACTGTCGTCCCCCTGAAACCCATTCCCATCCTTCTTACTGCCTGTAAGATATCTTAGCCAGCCAGACAAGCTCATTGGCCCTGCCATTTCCAGTCTCATGACCTTTGAGTCATTTATCATAAACTCTACCCACTACTCTGAAGTGTGTTGTTCTGACACATGCTCATTTGTCCTGCAGAACTCGGATCCCCTCCTCTGGAAAGTCCTCCCTGACTCCCCTAGACAATGTCAGCCCAAACTCTGCTTTTCTGAATGTTTTACCATTAGAACAGGTGTGTTAGACAGTGACAGTCTCACTCATTTCAACCTCTCCAGCACTGGGTGCTTAAGAGGGGTAAATGTAGGATAACCTCATTTCCCAAGTTCCACATATCCGCTAATGGACTGCTTTTTTGTTTTGCTTTGCCAGTCTCCTGAATTCTTGGAGCTTCATTCTTCTAGCCCCTAATGCTAGGCCTAGCAGTTTCTTAGTCATTTGCATCCCCCAGGCAGTAATCAACAATGACAGAGATTACAGGCCCCACTTGGGACACTGACTATGCTTGCTCCCTACTGGTCAGAAGCTTTCTTGGACGGAAAACACAGAGGGCTACAGTCAGTAGGAGTCGTGTCCCCCAGGCCTCTACTGGAGATTGAACTCAGGACCTTGCCCTTTCGAGGCAGGCACGGCACCACCGAGCTAAATCCCCAGACCAGTAGGAGTTCTTAATTGATTTTTGTATTTCACAAAGAATATGAACCCTTTCTCAAAAGAATTGGAGCGGGGGAGGTTACTGGGATTGAACACAGGACCTTGCACTTTAGGAAGCACATGGGGTTACAAGTGAAACTAGTCATGATGAAAAACAAATATCAAAACATTGGAAAACTATATATTTTTCTGTGACACATACCTATGTGATGTATATACACGTATCACATTAAACAAGATCTGCTGATGTAGATCTAATAATCACTAGAAGGGGCCTGCCATTCACATATGTCATACCCTTGCCATCATATCTCCTGATTAGATGCCTGCACGGAGCAGGAGTAAAGGGGAGGAGGAGGAGGAGACTGGAGAGGTGAGGAAAGGCTTGAGGACTTTCTTCCTATCAAGATGTCTATTGGTGTGCTGATTAAAGTCCTGTAGGAGGCGGAAGGCCACATTGTGACACAGGAGACACGCTGGTAGATGGGGGAAGCTCACTGAAGCAGAGATCAGCATGAATTGGCAAATGTCCAACATCACAGAGGTGACTGGCACAGCTGGACCAAGTGTGCATTCACAGCAGCAAGGTCCACTCTCGGATTTTGCTGACTTTCTAAAAAATGCACCCATGTTTAAGAGCATGAAAAATAAAGACCAAGCCCCAGTGGCTGGCTGAGGAAACACTGCTATTCTGTTTTTTGTTTCCGGTAGTGGGAATTGAATTTTGGACCCTGTGCTCACCAGGCAGGTGCAGCGCCACAGCTACATTTCCAATCCTATGCTGCTATTCTGAAGGCCCAAGTGGCTGCAAGAGAAGAAGTGGAATGGGATGTGGAAACATCTTCCAGAAGTGAAGGTAATTTTCTGCTGAACAGAAGTGTTCCTACGTTTAAATTATCTGAGTTCATGGGGGCTGGGCACTTATGTGTTTGTCTTCTTAGGTTTTCTTTTGACATCTTTCCCTGTAGATCAGAGGAAATGTCAAACTAAATGAATATGATTGTTTTTTGAGAAAAACTATAATTCCATGGTGGATAAATAGGATAGTTAGAGATATCCTCGGCCACTAGATGTGATCTTGAAGTATCTGTGGTTCCTGCCAGCAACAGTCAGAGGCAGCATTAATACCACTGGGGGTTGCCAGCCCCATCCACAAGGAAAGGACATGGTTCATATCAAGGTCAGAAAAACTAAAGACTAAAACTTGTGCCAGCCAAGTACAAAGAAGCTGTGGACCCCAGGTTAAGAATCCCTGAATGGTATTTGAGAGGCATGACAGACAAATTTTTTAAGTATGGCAGAGATGGCAGGTGGTTAGGGGTTTATGTGACCCTTGAGTAGTTCAATGGGTGTTGGGTTAGACGGGTGTGGTGGAGACAGCAGTGGTTAAGAGGTCTGCTTGAATTCCACAGATGCCACTTACCAGTAGCCAGGTTTGGCCTGGCCCTTCCCTTTGCCTGGTTTCTCATCTGTAAATGGGAATACAGCGTCTTTCTCACGGGTTGCTGAAAGGATTCAATCTGATTCACGCTATTAACTTAACACATGAGAACTCTTAGAGGTCAGTGTGTTTGTTGTTAAACGAGAGGATACTAAATGCCTGTAGAGAACATGCCCACTCACATAGCACGTTATCTCTCCTTCACCCTTTTCCCTCTGTAAAGCAGAACAGAAACCCACAGTCTGACCTTAGATTCTATACTCAGAGGGTAAACCCTTGCTTAGTGGGCAAACATATAAGTGTAAGCATTCTACACCGATCTAAAAGAACTAGGGCCGAGGATTTAGTTCAGTGGTATCATGACTGCCTCGCAAGCGCAAGGACCTGGGTTCGATCCCTGGTACCAAATAAATAAACCACCTCAATGCAAATTGCTTTATTTTATTAGAAGCATATTTACATTCTTTCAGTTCACTTTGCAGAGAACATTTTACAAAAGTTTTATGTAAATTTTGGAAACTACATAAAAATAACTTCTATCCTTCATAAAGAGAAAATATGTTATATTTACTCTGCTAAAAATAAACTGGAAAGGAGAAACATTTCCTTCCATCCCTTCCAAAGAAAATGTTAGCACAGGGAACGCAGAATACCGAGTTTGCCTTCTCAATGATGGAGCGCACAGCACAGCAGCTCACCTGAGGCTGGAAAACCAGGCCGCACCCCATTGAAGAGGCACAGGGCAGGTATCAGGGTTCAGGCAGCCCTGAGCAGGAAAGGAAGAACTCTAAAGGGCCAGGACAATGAGTGACAAGCCAAATAAGGGAGTGAGCAGACTTTGACCTGAACCACAGAACCGGCATTTCACCTAATACTCATTCCCACACCCGGGGCTGCAAAAGGGAATGTTGTAAACAAAGTCCTGACGTCCACCCACACGGCCTTGCTTAGGGCCCCCAGCACCTGTGCCCCAGAGAGAAGAGGAAGAGGCAATGGTTCAGCTTGTCTCATTGGTGTGAGACCTGAAACCATCCCACCTGGGTCAAATGCTGAGGCAGGCAAGCCAAATGCTCACTAAGCTAAGAAAATCATTGCCTTCCTGTGGCCCTGAGAACTTCTTTACTGCGGTTTAAGATTTGTGAGCCCCAAGTCTCCTTTCCTTGTTCAATGGCTGCCCCTTCCTTCCCAAGTATCCAGTTATAACCAGTGCTGAGAAACTTTCCAGTATTCTGCTTCAGAAGCACAAAAGTAACTTGCTAAACCCTAGCCTTCAGGAGTAGGGAAGGACAGAGTCCTCCTGCATGTCTGTCTTCCGTTACCAGAAAAAAATACCAGAGTCTGAGTGGGAGGTGGAGGCACAAAGATCCCAAATGCAAGCCCAGCCTGGGCACCTTAGGGCGGCGGGGGTGGTGGGGAAACAGTGACCAGACTCAGTAATGCCCATCAGTAGCAGCACTATAGTTTTTTTTTTTTTTTTTTTTTTTTTTTGAGACAGGGTCTCACTATGTAGTTCAGACTGCTCTGGAACTCACTGTGTAGCCCAGGCTAGTCTTGAACTCGCAGTGATCCTCCTGTCTCAGCCTCCCGAGTGCTGGGATTACAGGCGTGTAGCCCAGCTAGCACTGTAGATTCTAAGTAGATACATACATGCACACAAAACATTCATACATATATATATATTTTTTTGGACAAGTCCTCAGTATGTGATCCAGGCTAGACTCGAACTCATGATCCTCCTGGTTCAGCTTCCTGAGTGCTGGGATGACGAGCATTGTCACTGTCTCTGGCTAGAAGCCAGCCATACATTTTATATTTACTTTCACAGAACAGTTGGAAATCAGGATGAAAAAAGTCTTTGTAAATAAGCCGCAAGCAGGCTGGGGCACTTGCTTTTATTGGGTTACATACACTCTGCAGCCTTATAGGATCAGTGTCTCAGGAGGCCGGCTGAGTAACCTGAGGACCCAGGAGTCCACCAAAGGTCAGGACCTTTACTTCGGCCAGGTTCCCAGGGGCAGGGAGCATTGTGTTCCACAGCCGACCCCCACGCCTTTTCTTCTGGGAAAAAAAGCCAAGTGACTGCCAAGCAGGGGAGGGACGGGGCCCAAGGCCAAAGGAAAGGTCCTTCCTGTAGCACCCGCAGACTGGGTGGGCAGGCTGGGTTGTGGAAGTCTTGTGTGGTGAGGAGTTTATCCCTTGTGTGGGGCCAAAATAAGTCAGACTAGCAGTACAGCCTGTGCCATCCCTGGGCTTCTGGTGCCAACACCCAGCGTGTTGCCCACCAACTGCTCCAGCAAACCTGCAGCTCAGTGCATCCGCAAGCCTCACTGTCTGTGTCTGTGTGTGTGCGTGTGTGCGCGCACGCCCAGCGAAAGGAAATGCGAGGACAGCAGAACAAACACTTGAGGTTCCTTCTCCATCTCCTCCCCTCACATACACGCAGCCTTGTCTTGAGCAGAAAGCAAATGGGGAACCAGGGGAGCAAAGACATCCCGAGTAGCCAGCTGCCAGACTGGCTCTACTGGGAGCTGAAATGGCGGATAAGGTTCCTGTCTGATACTGCAAGTAATCGCTAAAAACCACCACACTCACAATGCGGATGAGCCCACAGTGACTCAGCAGCAGCATTTTGTGCCACCCGACAGCAAAACTGGCATTTTGGCAGAAAAGAGGGCCCCTGAGGCCCCGGCACACCCATTCCTCCTGGGTCCTGCCCCCACTGAGAGCCCAAGTCAGGTGCAGCTGGACGGGACATGGAGCTCGATGAGGACACACATCAGGGACAGGTGCCACATGTAACTCTTCATTCTCCACGAGCAAGTGAGGAGTCAGGCAGGCGTGTGGAGCACAGCCAGAGGGCACAGAGCAAGCGGCTGGATGCAAACTGGCACAGAACAAGGGGAAAGAGGATGGCAGAACCCCGAGGCCCTGCTCCGGCAAAGGGGTTTTAAGAAGCATCCACAGAGCTGTAGGGGAAGAACTTGGCGGCCTTGCTCGGCGTGGTGGGGACGGAGCACTCTGCCTCCTCACTCAGCTTGAAGAACATTTCCTGCTCCCGCTTCTTCTGGTTCAAATCTTCCTCTAGAGCCTAGGGGGAGAGAAAACGTAGACAATGCTCGGTGGGAGCCCACGGCCACACGCATGTCTCCCACCTGCAGGACCCATCCAGTAAGGCCACCTCTAAGAGCCCCTCCCCAGTCATGGCCTCTCCCTCCTACAATCTACTACCTCCCCCTTCTGTGCTCAGCAGCGGCCCAGATGCAGGGTGGGAAAAATGCCAGTGGAGGAGCGAAGCCGAGTGAAGTCTCCACAGGAAGACCCTGAGGGAGAAGACAGGGAGAGCTTCGACCATGAGGACAGCAGAGATGTCAGAGTGCCACAGTGCTTGCGATGCTCATGCCTTAGCCTCCCAGATTGCTCAGATTATAGGTGTGCAGCACAGTGCCCAGTTTTCTGTTTTGTTTTTTAAAAGAGCATCTTACTATGTTGCCCAGGATTCCTGGAATTCCTGGCCTCAAGTGCTTCTCCTGACTCAGCCTGAATAGCTGGGAGTAAAGGCATACACCACACACTAGCGTCAGAAACATTTCTTAAGAGTTCTCCAATTATAAGGATCCAATTCACAAAGGATGCAAAGTATAAAGAAAACAACTTAAGCTTCACGGATAGTGCTGCCAGAACTCCTGGAGTTTCAAACAAATTGGAAATTCAGATTTCTATGTCAAATCTTGTACGTAAAGGTTCACAACTTCAAAAATGTAAATCATTGTCAAATGTAATAAGCCATTTCAGACCATAGTTTCTGACTGTCACTGTAGGAATACTAATTTTTTTTTTCTTTTTGGTGACTGGGAATGAACACAGGCTTGTTTATGCTAGGCCTATGCTCTACCACTGAGCTAAATTCCCTTTCTGGAATAATAATAGCACTACCTTTTGAGCACAGAGTGGATTAGTAACTTGCCTAAGACTTCACAACTGGTGCAGGCTGAGCATCCCTCCTCTAAAAATACAAAATCCTGCTGGGGATTTAGCTCAGTGGTTCCACCACCTGCCTTGCAAGTGCAAGGTCCCAAGTTTGATCCCCGGTAACAAAAAATAAATAAATAACAATACAAAATCCTAAATGCTCCAGAATCTAAGACCTTTTGAGTACCAATTGGATGCTCTGAGTAGAAAAATCCACACCTGACCTTATGTAATGGGCCACAGTCAGGTGTACTGGAAAAACAGTATAAAATTACCTTTAGGCAATGTGTACAAGGTTAGATGTGAAACAAGTGAATTCTGTGTTTGGACCTGCATCCCATCTCTAAGACATCCCATTTCATATATGCAAATTTCCAAACTCTGAAACAGCCCAAAACTTCTGGCACCAAGAATTCCAAATAAGGGTTACTCAACATGTGACAGGAAATCAGGATTTTAGCCACACATCTGACTCTGGAGCCTGTGCCTTCTATATTACATCCTCTCCCACCACAGATTTCCCCCACCATATAACTTTCTAAGGTCAGTCAACAAGCTTTTTCCAGATAGTAAAGCTTTTTATGCCAGATAGTAAGGGCTTCATTGCAACTAATTCAACTATCACTGCCTTGCAGAATCAATCAGGGATCAAATGTAAATGAAGGAAGATGGCTGTGTCCAATAAAACGTAGTTTATATATATGGGGAGAGACCAGATTTGGCCCATAGGAGCATGTTAACACCTGCTTTAAGGGAAGAAATATTAACTACATTTTGCAGCCCAAAAGGCCAAAGTTCAGAAGAGAAGGTGTTGGAGGTTTTATTCTGTGTCTATGACAGCCAAGTAACACTTCATTGGCCCTACCAAGCATTCTGTACTTACTTGAAAGAAAGAAACTAATTTTTCTTTTTTCTTCGCTTCTATTTTTTTCCTGTTTTTTAAGACAAGATCTTACTATGTAGCCCAGGCTGGCTTCATACTCATGGTGATCATCTGCCTCAGCTTCTCAAGTGCAGGGATTATAGATAGGTGTGTGGGACCACACCTGACAATCTGAATGTTTCTAAAAATATTCCACAATGTCCAGTCACTTCCCTTCTATAAAAGGGAGGGAGCTCCAGGCAGCTGACTATCATTCAATAGTGTAAGAGATCAGTTATTCCAGAATGTAAACCATCTGACCCTGGATCAGTGCTCCAACACCAACTTAGGTAGCTAATGACAGAAGAATGCAACACAGAATTAGGCAAAGATGCAGCACCCACAGGCAAAATTCAGGGCCACTGCCTGCCCCAACCATATACTTGCAGTGCCTGCCCTGAGCCCAGGCCCTGGGAGGCAACCTGATATATAATGCAGCAGATAGGGGAAAGGCAACCGTTCATTTGCAAACACAGGATATGCCAAGGGTAGAGGTGTCCCAGTAAGAGAACCAGGTGACCAGGTGGTTTGTCTCTCTGATGCCAGAGTCATCCTATGTCAGCAGGAACATCATTGATTTCAGTGTCAGGTATCAGAAGTCCCAGCAGGCCATTGCTGTCCCAGCAGGGTTACAGAAACTGATGAGTGCGGGCCAGCTAACAGGAAGGTCTGGGGCCCTGGCCAGCTTCCAGACAGAAAGCTCCATTAGCACCAGGAGGAAAGTCTCCACCCCATGGACTTCCAAGGCCATTACAGAGATAAGGTGGGCACCTGCTTCCTGTCCAGACCACAGGTGCAGCAAGCAGACCTGAGGTATGATAGCTGAATATGGGAAATATCATCAAGGGTGATTAGGGTGATTCTCCTCTGAGAGCTTAGGAAATAAGTGTGTCTTTGGCTGTACCAAGGGCTGGTGCACAACTTTTTGCATAACATTGTACAATACTGACATCTCTATAAATACCACACAGACCTTGTGATAATCTTTGTTTGTTTGCAGTACTAGGAATTGAACCCAGAGCTCCCACTCTGAGCTACGTCCTCAGCCCTTTATATACACACGCACATGCACACGCATTTTGAGAAAGGTTCTTAGTTGCCCAGGTGGAACTCAAACTTGTGGTCTTCCTGTCTCAGCCTCCAAGAGTGCCAGGATTGCAGGTGTGTGCCACCACACCTGGCTAGTGATGGTTAATCTTAATGTGATAGTTTGGCGAGGCCATGGTACCCAGTTGTTTGGCCAAACACCAGCACAGATGGCACTGTGAGGATTCTTTTTAAGGCAGGGGGTTTAGCTCAGTGATAAGAGCAAGTGTCTGTTATGCATGAGGCCTAGGTTCCATCCCAGCACCCCCCAAAAAGGGGGAGGTATTTTTAAGATATTATTAATATATAAATCAGTACATTATTGGCATATGTTTGTAATCCCAGCTACATGGGAGGCTGAGGCAAGAGAATCATAAGTTCAAGCCTAACCTGAACAACTAAGCAAGATCCTGTCACAAAAAAAAAAAAAAACAAAGGACTAGAGACACTGCTTAGTGATACAGTCACTGAGTTCAATTCCCAGTACCCACCTCACACACACACACGTCCCTCTGAGAAGAAGGAATTCTGAATTCCAGGCTGCAACCTCAGCTCTTCCCAAGGTCTCCAGCTTAGGTTCTGCCTGGCAGCTTGCAGACTGAGCAGCTGCCATAATTATGTAAGCCAAGTCCTTAAATAAATCACTTTGGCCTGCCTGATACCCCAATGTTGATGACCAGCAGGAACTTCCTAGAGAGTGTTATATAGAGAGGATACGTATGAATTCTCCCCATCTTCCTGACACCGTCTTAGCCCAAGCTTTCATCACTGTTCAGCAAGATTATTCTACATCTTTCTGCTTTCACCTTGACCTCCTTCAGCAGCCAGGGGGACCCTTTCAAAACCTGAGTCAGACCATGTCCTCCTCCACTCAGAACCCTCCAGGGGTGCTCATCTCACACAGTAAAAGTCAGTCTTTAACCAGCCCCACCCCACCCCCATCTTTAGCTCTCATTGCCCCCACACCATCACAGTCACTCTGCTCCAGCTTCCGCAGGCTCCCTGTTCCTCAACCATGGCCGGAGCACTCTCACCTCAAGGCCGCTGCACTTGCTCTTGCCTCTGCCGAGAATGCTCCCTCAGGAATCTGATGGCTGTCTACCTCCTGTCCTCCAGAACTTTACTGTGGTACCACTGCCATCCTTTTGGAGCTGGCCCCCTTTGCCACCCCAGCCCTGTTCCTTTCCCTGCTTCTCTGCTCTTCACTGGCTCAGCTCCCTGAGGGGGACTTGTCTGTTTTGATTAGGGTAGGCTCTCCAGCGTCTACAACAGCGTGGGCACAAGTCAATGAACAGATGACCAAACGAGATGGTAGACAGTGGCAACACCATATAGTACTGTGACAGGGTGCGCACAGGGAGTCACTGGAGCCCAGAGGAGTCAGCCACCCAGCATAATAATGGAAGACAATGGATACTGAAGCTGGCTACACAAAGGCTGGTGGGTATGGAATTCCTGAAAATAGGGAACGGCCTGGGCAGCAGTCAAGGAGGAGCACAAGCATGGGGCAAGGTCACAGGACATGAAACAAGAGCAGTAGACTATGGACCCCTAAGGAACCCAGATGAGGGCAGATACCGCAAGGTCAGAACTACTTTCCTAAATCTAAGACGTAATTTACCCTTTCCACTGTAGAGATCTGAGTTGATGGTATAAAAACCATGGCTAAAACTTGGCACTGAACTGGGTAGGTGTTCCTCACCGTAATGTACTCCGAGCATTAAAAAAACATTTTTAAAAAGATATTTTCAGCCAGGTGTAGTGGAGCACAGCTATAATCTCACAAAACTCTCAACGTCATTCAGAATCCCAAAGTGTGGGCAGGTCTTGAAACCAGAAAGCTTGAAAACCACTAGGCTAGAGAGTTCCTATGTTCTGCATCAGATGGCTGGAGGGAAAGGGGACCAGGGGCGACAGAGCAGGTGTCAAAGCAGGAGCCCAGTTAGAAGGCAGTCTGGGTCAATGGGGTGGGAAGCAATGAGGCCTGATCAGGAGGAAGGGCAATACTGAGGAGAATGAGGGATGGAGCTAAGCGACTGACATGAGACAGCAAGAGGGCAGGCGAGGAGAGAAGAGGATATCACTCAGACTGGATGCCTGGACATCCAGAAAAATGGAGGTGACATTCACCAAGGAGCAAGAACACAGGAGAAGGGCCAGGCGTGGTGTCACACACCTATAATCCCAGAGGGGAGGCTGAGACAGGAGGATTGCTCCACGTTCAAGGCCAGCATGAACTACATAGTGAGACCCTGTCTCAAAATGAAAAGAACATAGAACAGATTTCTGGCAGAGATGATGGTTTGTTTGGGACATGACAGTGGGTGGAGGTATCCAGGGGTGTGCTGGGCAGGAGCGGGGGCCAGGGTGGCAGGAAGAGATGTTGGGCGTGGCTCAGAGGGTATGTCAGGGCTGTGGAGTGAGTGAGCTCAGGCAGGCATATGGACCAGATCACCCAGAAGGCTGAGAACAGACTCAGGTCGGACGTCCCCAGATGGTCCAGGAAGCTGCGGGGGCCTGCCGCAGGGATGCAGCCGGACAGGGTGGGCCCAGGAGGACCAGGCAGGCCAGGGAGAGTGCTGGATGGTGCTGCCTGCCACCCAGAGCTCAAGTCAAGGAAGTCCTCCCCACAGACCAGCTGCCAGGGTTTTGTCATCAACCTTGCTGGGAGCAGCTACAATGAAAATTAATATGAGGGGAAGAGCTTGGGGCGGAGAACATGGGCTGCTCGAGATGTGAGAAAAGACACAAGAATGCTGCATGCTCCAGCACTCAAAGCCCTAGGTTCGATCCTCAGGGCTGAAGGACAGCCTGTTGGTGAAGGTGGAAGTCTGTCAGGCACACTTCTACAAATGCCCCCAGGGACTTGCCCTGTCACTCTGCCGGTTCATGTGAGGGTAGGTGGAACCCAGGAGTATGACCTCACTCTTTGCAAGGCAGAAGACATCCTGCCAGCCGCGTCTATTCACAGGGCCTTTTCAGTTTCTTCCCACTAGAAGCAGAAGAGGATGTTGGAGAGACTGAAGGCATGAGAAGGCCTTAAGACACCCATGCTGTGTGGAGAGAGAGAGGGCCACGCAACAAGGAATGTGGGTGGCTCTAGCACAGAGCGTGGGCTTTGGCTGACAGCCAGTGAGGATGTGGACTCTGACAAGTCCTGGATGAGCTCGGAAGTGATTCTTCTCCACAGGCACCAGGTAAGAGTCCAGCCTGGCAGCTCCTTGACTGCAGCCTCGTGCTGCCCTAAGCTGAGGATGGGGGGACTTCTGACCTACTTCAGTAGCACATGTCACCGTTAGATCCTAAGGGGGTATTGGCTTAAGCTAATGGCTGGTGTTCGTGTGTGTGTGTGTGTCTTGGGTTTGGTTTGGTTTGTGTGGCACTGGGGACTGAACACATAGCACCACACACCCCAGACAAGCACTCTCCACTCAGTGTGTGGCAATTTGTTATGTGCAACGGAGAACTAATTCAGAAAGTGATCTCTCCAGTGCTGGGTTCTGACCACAGAATAACTTCATCTAAGAGAAAAGCCTCACAGGCGGGGCTGGCCTGGCAAGGGGGCTGATTCCCAAGCACTGCAGGTCTTCTGTGTCCTCAAGGCAGGACCCCTTGAGCTGAGAGGAGCTGAGAATGAGCCGAACAAAGGCACTGGACCAGACAGCGAAGAGTATGCCACTGCGGAGGGTGGAGCTGCGGTGTTCAGCTGCCGCTGGTGACATGGGTCCTCTTCCTCTCAGGCTACAGGCCCATTTTAGGGATGCCACAAACAAGGATCCACCAAAATCAGGGAACCCAAGGTGTCCCAGGCAGGCACACCTGGCAGAGCCGGAGCAGAGCCCACCACCGCACCCCCGGGCCCAAGTGGCTACCTTCTTGCGTGGCCGAAGCTTGTCTCGCCACTCCTTCAGGTTCTGGTTATGGCTCTCATCCAGGGCCTTCAGCTTCTGGGTTTCGTGCTCTACCAAGAGGTGACACTTTTCATTCTGGAACAAATTCCAGGCAGAACAGGTGTGAAATTCAGAAGGGAGAGGCACTGAGAGCACATATACTATAGCTCCTAGGGCACCACCATTGTGAACGCGGGTGGGTATTCGGGTGTGTTAGACTTCTTGAGGATAACCCCATTTACATACCTCCACACATGCCCCAAGGGATGTTCCACAATATGAAGGGTAATAGCTATTGTCTGTGTCATGGCGTTTGCAATGATTTTGTAACTTTCTCTTAGATGCTTTTTCATTATCTGAATTTTTTTTTCAGTACTGGGCTGTGAACCCAGGGCCTCACACATGCTGGGCAAGCACTCTACTACTGAGGTTCACCCAGGCCTGGCAAGGGATGAGAGTCAGGGTCACGGCTGAGACCTGCCAAGCTCTACCGTACTCTCTCTGAGGTAAGTTACCTGCTTTATACATTGTATTGGAGTCTTTCATAAGCAGAAGTGGCAAGTCCCTGTGGGAAACCCATCTTGTTAAAAGGTATTAGTAAACCAGGGGAAAGTACCTTTATCCAGATACCATGTTCCTATTGGGTTGGGAAAGCAGAACCCTTTGGGGAATTTTTATTTTGGGTTTCAAGCGAAAGGCTTCTGGGAGTTTCGAAATTGGTATAGTTAGGATTAACAGTCACAGCAGCATGGAGGCCTGTAGCATGCTGCGCACAGCACTTTATATGGGCTGTCTTCAGTTAATCCTCACAGTAACCCCATGCTGCAAGAATGAAAGAATGTAAGTGACTTGACTAAAACGCACACAGTGGTAAGCTGGGCACAGTGGCACACACCTGTAATCTCAGCACTCTGGGAGGCTGAGGTAGGAAGATCATGAGCTTGTGCCCACCCTGGGCAACTTAGTGTCTTAGCAAGACCCTGTCTCAAAATAAAATTTTTTAAAAGGCCTGAAATATAGCTCAGTGGGAAGGCCGGGGTTCAATACCTTGTACTGTACTGAAAAGACAAAAAAAAAAAAAAAGTAAGTGGCAAACAACAGAGCCTCTGCCTGGCAGGCTCTGGTGCCTGTAATGTTTCCTGCATGCCCTTTGCTTCTCCAGAAACTGCCAGATCAGACCAGTAGCCTGATCAATTTCCTGACAAAGTTGGCCCCATTTCTGAGCCCCAACAATGCCTGGATTCACCACAAGGGGGCTCCAAGCACCAGTTCCTGAGGCCAGAACTTTCAGGCCTTTGCAAAGCTGGAGGCCAAGATCCCTAAGGGTCAGGTACCAGTGAGGAATCTCTGAGCCTTGGCCTGCAGATGACCCAGAGGCATGGAGGAAACCCAGAAGCCTGAAGAGGTCAGGGGCTTGTGAAGCAGTCACCAGGAGAGGAATGCCTTTCTATGAGAGAGAAACCAGCAATGCCAGCTGTGGGAGCCGGGCAAGGTACTCTGAGCTCCATCAGCTCCTTCATAAAGCCACACCCCAATCCTGCAAGGCAGGAATTATCACCCCACCCACAACCACTTTCAGGGTGTCAAAAGTATGGCTTGAGATGATTTGCCCAATGTCACGTGGCCTGCTCCAGTTCACTCTGGGCTTGTGTGACAAGGATCCTTCTTGCTATTATTCAGACAGCCTCTGGTCCCTGAGCACCGACTTCCTTGGAGAAACTGAGGCAGTAAAGAAGGGCATACCTGCAGTTGCTGTAGCTCACTCATGTTGCTTTCGCATTGAGCCAGCATGTCCCGCATCTGGTTCTCATGTTTTTGTTGCTGCTGCAGCCGCTCTGACTTCTGCCTCTTCTCCTCCTGCTGGGAGAACTGCACAAGACAGAGCTTGGGTGCCTCGGGGCCAGAGGCCCTGCTTGGTTGGGGCACCTACCTTACCTTGCCCCCGGGAAGCCAGCAGAGGGACTGGTCTGGGCACAGCCCAAGTGTCCAGCACAGCCTCGGGCTCTACCCCTATGGTTTTGTTCCTTTTGTTTTGTTGTGGTGCTGCGTACTGAACACAGGGCCTCCAACATGACAGGCAAGTGCTCTACCCCTGAGCAACCACTGACTGAAGTCGTCACTCTGAGCTGGCACCCAGGTCCTGCCCTAAGATTGGAGGGGACCTGACACTGTAATGTGACATGTGCTAGGACAGGGTGCACAGGGATCACGGATGCCTCGGCCACACACATGATGTGTTAGTGGGGCCTTGGTGGATGAAAGAAGGGGCTGACCAGCAGAGGAAGCTGCAGTATAAAAGTACTAGTGTGGGAAAGGGATGGTGTGTGACAAAGTCCACAGCACAATGCCACACCCCTTGTGTTCACCAGGCCTGGATTCACTGTGGGGCTGATGAAGCTTCCAGGCTATGACTTGTGACTTGCACAAGATCTCATGCACACCCCCCACCCAAGATCTCATGCTACATCTTATATTTTATATTCTCCCAAATACGAGGTCCGGGCCCCACCACTCCTGTTTCTGTGCCCACTCCTACATGGCCCTGGGCACCAGGCCCAGCTCCCACCTGCTTGATCTTCTCGCGCTGCTCAGAGGCACTGCCCCCTCCATTGATGTGCAGACTCTTCTTGTACATGGCCATGCGTGTCTTGCCCTCGCTCCTCTGAATCTTGGGCAGCCGTGCCTTTTCCTGCTGCTGCCGCACCTTCAGCTGTTCTATCATGCGCTGGTTGTAGCGCTGCATCTGCTCCCGCTCCTGGGGGGACACCCAGCAGGGTCAAGGTCAGCTGAGCTCTGGGCACAGGACCCACAAGGCCCAGGGTGCTCAGCACAGCCTGGCTTGTGCTGGTTTACTTCTGCTGTTACATAACACTTGGACCTGTGGTAATTCAACTTACGGGCCCAGAAAGCCATGGTGAGTCAAGGAACATCTGTTCTGTTAATATTTTAAGTCTTCTAAATGCCTTATCAAACAGATGACACTACACCATTATGAGGTAGCATCTCAAAGGATGGTTCATCATAACTGATACCACTGTAAATTCATATTTTATAAAGCCTTTTTTTTCGGGGGTGGGGGAGTGCTGAGACTCAAACCCATAGCCTGTGTGTACTAGGCAAGTGCTCTACCACTGAGCTATGTCCCCAGCCTCTTTTTTTTTGGGGGGGGGGGTACCGGGAATTGAACTTGGGACCTTGCGCTTGCAAGGCAGGCAGCAGAACCACTGAGATAATTCCCTGGCCATATTCCCAGCCTCCCTAAAAAAAAGCCCTATTGTCCCAGCACTGAGGGAGGTTGAAGCAGGAGGATTATAAGTGCAAGTCCTGCCTAGGCAATTCAGCAAGACCCTGTCTCAAAAAAAAAAAAAAAACCTGGGGCTGTAGCTCAGTGGTAGCGGTGGAGCACCCCTGGGTTCAGTCCCCAGTACCATACACATACACACACACACGCCATGATAAATGAATTCATTCTTCCTCCTAACACCTGTTTGTATTTCAAGACTGTGCATGGGCAGTGCCTCCTTCATGCACCTTCTGTGACTTCTAAGGCAGGCTGAGTTCCCACAGTCCTATGCTGACCTCCGTACTGCACTTAGGAACTGGGATTCCCCACAGCTGCTGTGTGTGCATCTTCAGCTGATCTGTCACTATCCCTAGTACGGGAATGGAACAGACTGACAATCAGCACAGATGGAGGTGCTCTGGCCACACAGACTAGGGGCCCTCACCAGGTGGGAGAGCTGGGAAGGTTTCCCAGCACAGGTGGTGTGTAGGGGGAACCCTCAAACTATTCCACGGGAACACCTGCAACAGAGGAATAAAGAGAAAGTGGAGAGGGAAGACAAAGGAAAAAAGAAAAGTGAAAGAGATACGCAGTGCAGGTGTCAGGGTCAGCAAGGGAGCCTGATCCTGCCCATCTGCTCCCTCTCCCTGGTTCCCAGAATCACCCAGGCCTCTCAGTTCATTCACACCTGAGAGATGCACCATCATGGTGGCCTCGCAGCTGGCCAGGTCCTCAGCAGCGGTCCCCACCTGCGCCCCACCAGAGCCTCACCTTCTCGTGCTTGCGCAGCAGCTCGTGCCGCTGGAGGAAGTACTGGTCTTTGAGCTGCTGCTTCACCAGCTGGTGCCTCTCCTGCAACTGGTGCTCCTCCATCTCCCACAGGGCCGCCTCCCGGTCTATGGAGGGAGGACATGCCACCGCCTGGTGAGGTGTGAGCAGGCCTGAAGACCAGACAAGGGCTTCCCTCCAGTCCCCTCTGTCAGGCCTCATCATACTGTGATGCTGATCACAAACCTGTGTGTGCTACCTCAGCAGGCCATGCTGCCCATCTGAGTCCTAGAAACTTTAAGCCTAAGAGATGCCAGCCCTAGCCTCAGGCAGAGAGCAGGGAGCAGTCTAAGTCGGGAGCCAGGAAAACAACACATAGACTGGAACCCAGATGTGGCTGAGACTTGAGATCATTAAGAAAACCTCTTCAGGCCTCAGCTACTACCTCTGCCAAATGGGCAGTTACACCGTGGAGGGACGAAGTGTCACTGGGAGGCAGGGGCAAACAGGAAGGGCTCAGATGTAGACCCCGAGCAGAGGACCCAGGGTGAAACACACCATTAGGGAGGAGGCAGGCCCTCAGCAGACACTGGGCCCCTGTAACCTGACCTTGGACTTCTCAGCCTACTAGTCTGGTATTTTACTAGAACTCCCCAACCAGACTAAAGACACTCTAGTGCTGCCTGTCTGCGATCACCTGGCGGCGTGCGTGCGAGCTCCCGGCCTGCGCGGGAGCTCCTGGCCTGCGCGACAACAGACCCAGGAAGGACCCAAGGACCCCAGAGGGGGTTTTTTTCAGCTGCCTACCTGC